CACACACACACCCTACATCTTCTTTATCAATTCATCTGTCAATGGACATTTAAGTTGCTTCACTGTCTTGGCTATTGTAAATAGTGCTGCTATGAACGTTGGGGTGCATGTATCTTTTGAAATTATAGTTTTCTATATGCCCAGGAGTGGGGTTGCTGGATCATATGGCAGCTCTATTTTTAGCTTTTTAAGGAACCTCCATACTGTTTTTCATAGTAGGTGTACCAATTTACATTCTCACCAACAGCAAAGGAAGGTTCCCTTTTCTCTACACCCTCTCCAGCATTTGTTATTTGTAGACTTTTTAATGATGGCTATTCTGACCGTGTGAGGTGATACTTCACTGTAGTTTCAATTTGCATTTCTCTAATAATTAGCAATGTTGAGCATCTTTTCATATACCTATTGGCCATCTGCATGTCTTCTTTTGGTGAAATGTCCATTTTTTGATTGGGTTGTTTGTTCTTTTGCTATTGAATTGTATGAACTGTTTGTATATTTTGGAAATTAAGCCCTTGTTGTTCGACACATTTGCAAATATTTTTTCCCAGTCCACAGGTTATCTTTTTGTTTCGTTTATGGTTTCCTTTGCTGTGCAAAGGCTTATAAGTTCGATTAGGTCCCATTTGTTTATTTTTGCTTTCACTTCTGTTGCCATGGGAGACTGACCTAAGAAAACTTTACTATGATTTATGTCAGAGAATGTTTTGCCTATGTTCTCTTCTAGGAGTTTTACAGTATCATGTCTTATATCTAAGTCTAAAGCCATTTTGAGTTTATTTTTGTGTATGTTGTGAGGGAGTGTTCTCACTTCATTGATTTACATGTGGCTGTCCAGGTTTTCCCCACTTGCTGAAGAGACTGTCTTTTCTCCATTGCATATTCTTGCCTCGTTTGTTGAAGATTAATTGATCATAGGTGTGTTGGGCTCTCTGTCTTATCCATTGATCCATATGTCTGTTTTCTGTGCCAATACCACAGTGTTTTGATTGCTGTAGCTCTGTAGTTTTGTCTGAAGTCTGGGAGGGTTATGTCTCCAGCTTTGTTCTTTTTCCTCAGGATTTCCTTGGCAATTCTGGATCTTTTATGCTTCCATATAAATTTTAGGATTACTCGTTCTAATTCTGTGAAAAATGTCATGGGTAATTTGATAAGGATCACATTAAACCTGTAGATTGCTTTGGGTAGTATGGTCTTTTTAACAATATGAAATGTTCCAGTCCAAGAGCATAGGATATCTTTCCATTTATTTGTGTCATCTTCAGTTTCCTTTATCATTGTTTTATAGTTCTCAGCACATAGGTCTTTCACCTCCTTGGTCAGGTTTATTCCTAAGTATTTTTTTTTTTGATGAGATTTTGAAAGGGATTTTTTTTTTTTTTACTTTCTCTTTCTGATATTCCATTATTAGTGTAAAGAAATGCAACAGATTTCTGCATGTTAATCTTGTATCCTGTTATCTTGCTGAATTCATTTATTAGTTCTAGTAGTTTTTGTGTGGAGTCTTTAGGGTTTTCTATATATACTATCATGTCATTTACATATAGTGACAATTTTACTTTTTCTCTTCCAATTTGGATAACTTTTATTTCTTTTTCTTGTCTGATTACCGTGACTAGGACTACCAATACTATGTTGAATAGAAGTGGTGAGAGTGGGCATCTTTACCTCCTTCCAGATTTTAGTGGGAAGGCTTTCAGCTTTTCAACATTGAGTATTAGGCTGGCCATGGGTTTGTCATAAACGTATTTTATTACGTTGAGATATGTTCCCTCTGTGCCCACTTTGGTAAGAGTTTGCATCATGAATGGATGTTGAATTTTATCAAATGCTTTAGAAAATTAAAAATTACATACATGACATTTGATTTCTATGGAACCAAGGTAGTCTAAATAGTTCTCTATATGTTGTGTGCTTGTGTATGTGTGTTTGAGTGTGTGTAGAGATGTGTGCCTTCAAATTGTAAGCCCTTTGTGGATAAGAACTACATCATATACTTTTTTATATGCCTGCTGTACTCAGCAGAATCCACAGCAGTTAGTAAATTCATAGGTACTGAATTCCTGAAGGCATTCTGGCTCATCCTGGCATTTCATGCCAGACAAGTGGCAGTGGCTGTGCCTGGGGCCCCTCAAGAACATGGAGGGGGGGGGACAGGTCTGAGGGGGAGTCTCGCCATGGAGCAGCCAGGCGATGAAGGACCTCCGTGGGCTCCTGTGGTCAAGCTGAGTTTGTCTTGGGAAACTCTTTCCAGGTACTTGGTGTCCACAGACTCTGGAGCTGTCTGCCAGCTCTGCTAATCATTCACCACCCTTCGCTTCCTTCTTGGCTATCTGTGGGCAGTGAGTGTCTGGTTTGGGATGGGTGATTCCTATCTTCAAAGTTGTGCTCAGGATGTTCACGTTTTAATGAACAACATGCAGCCCTGGTGCCTGGCCAAGGTGGGGCCTGAGCAACCCGGACGGGACCTGAAGTGGGGCCCCCTGTCCTCATATGTTCCACTTTCAACCTCACATTGCTCTGGGGTCAGTGCTGCTGTTCTCTCTCCTCTTCTGACCACTCACTCACAGCTGCAGGAACAACTGGGGAGAGGAGGATAGGAGCTGGAGAAAGCTCTGCTGCACCCACCTTACTAGGACCACAGCCTCGAAGTACTAGAAGCAACATTAAAAGCGATCAAATGTGGCTCCTCTTGAGGCCTGTAACCACATGCTTCCTGTCCCGGTCCTGCTGATACATAGAGGAGCGATGGACCCTGGGCCTCTCCCAGAGCAAATCCAAGAACCTAAGAGAATCCCTCGGGTTCTCTCCTCCTGACGACTTCAGAAGCGTCACTCAGATTTTCCCTTTGAATCTCCTACCTCTGAGCACTGAGCACTACAGAGCTCTCCCAGTGTTTTGGTAATTCACCAAAAGGGAGAAGACAAAAGATAAACATGTTCACTTCTGTGCAACCATATTCATGCCCTTTTATTTTCACTTCAATAGAAAGTTAAGTTGAACACTCAGTTTTTTTAGATGAGGGGGATGACATGCAGCAAATCAAGGGGAACTGGAGTGAGAAGGCAGATTTCTGACTTCCATCGATGCATTTTCCATTCTTCATGCTGCTTTCTTAGAACTGTGTTTCTACACCTCAGTGGTAACAATGGTCACCTCCAGATTGTGAAATTAGATGATTTGTAACGTTCTTCTTTTTGCTGATGCATTTTATCTGACTTTTCTATAATGACTGTATATTAATTGAATAAAAATACTTAACTTTAAAATTTAAAGTTAGAAAATTCCCCCAGAAAGCTGAATTAAGTTTCGCTTTTCTAATTTCCCTTCACACTCAAATCCCTAGCCCCACCAAACCTCTAAATAGCAAGAAGAAATCTGAATTACTGTCATCCTCAAGGGCAGAAAGATTTAACTTTTTCTGGAATTAAGTGGACTTGTGGAAGTGTAGGTAGTTGGGTAGGAGTGAAGTCTCAGAGGCAGTGCTGTGACCTGTGTGTAAGTTCTCCTCCTCTTCACTAGGGGCACTGTCATCATACAGGTGCTGCCTCTCTGCCCCACAGCATTACTTGTACCATAAGGACAGATGATTATGCAGAAGACTGTGATGTCAGTACCATTCACGTTGAGCAGTGAACTTCTCCCTTCAGCATTATTATCACCCCCAGAGAAATTCCTATTCCATGTACCTTCCACAGTAAACCCAGAACCACTATGAGCTTCACATTATCTGTACTTTGTTCTTCACCATCCTCTCTGCCTTATACTCAGCTGGCTGTTACCCAATACCTAGGACTCTGTCCTCTGAGGTGCATTAGACACTAGCAGAGTCATAGATAAATGAAGCTGATGGGCTAATTCACATTAAAATCCAAATGGCCAACACTAGCACACTGGAGTCACTCCTCTCAATGGTATCTACATTTTAGGGATTACACCTTAATGCCTTGCATCAGTTAGGGATAGATCATGGGAATATGGATTTCTTATGGATATTAGACCTTACACATTTGTAGTGAGGAAGTCTATGGAAGGCTCTTGCCTCTCTGTGTGATGGGGTGGAGGCCATTTCAGCTCAAATTGGCAGCAGTCAGGAAGAAGTACATTACATGAAGTTGGGGAAGAGCAAGGACAAACTGCAGCTTATGAAGATAGACTGAAGCCTCTGTCTTCCCCTCATCACCTCATACTTCAGTGGCAGGTGGCCTGCAGAAGCAGCTCGTGCCCTTTGCACAAAGAGAAGCTGAGGGAGCTGTAGGCCTGGCGGTCCATGCCAAGGAGTTGAGCCAGCAGATCAGTAACTGAATACGTGAACTGCAGTGGCGCCTGGTACCCTACACCTTCAGAGTGTCTTAGGTTGCTTCATTTCCATCTTTAGGTTCTCTTGTAAACTTCTCTTGCAGCCAACTCAATCTGGAATCATAGAGGGAAGGTAACTCTAGGAAACATGGCTCAAGCTTGGTTAGGTTGACACAGTACAAAATACCCACTGTTCCTGAAATCAGTATCAAAGTTAGCTTTTCAGATCCATTTACTGGCCAGTAGAAATGCTGAAGTGGGGAGACAAAGGTGGGGAGGTGAAAAGATAAGGGGAGGAGAGGAAGGGACCTTTCTTGGTGATCCTCAGAACATGTCTATAAAAGAAGAAAAGCCAGATAGGTACGAAACATGCTCATATATCCAAATGTTTTTAAATATATGTGTCCAGAAAGAAAACTTTGTAATCAGGCCAAAGTTATGTCTGAGAGATACCAAAGGAAACCTGAGGATTTGTGAGTGCCCAGGCTTCCTCTGGAGACCATGGCAACCCCTAATCCCATCCCATGCTTCTGTGCCCTTCTCTGAGTGCTGGGCAGTACCAGGGGAAGGAAGCCATAGGAGAAAGGGACAAGTATGACCAGAAGCGCCCCAAGGGCCCTAGAGGGGAGCCCCTAAAGGCACATTCACCAGCTGTCTTCTTTGGCAGAAGCCAGTTAGTCCCCAACGTCCCAGAATGGAATGGAGCAATGAGGCTTTACACCACCAAAGTCATAGGCTTGTTTCAAGAAGCATTTCCTCTCTGTGGGGGAGCAGTGGGTGGGGCGAAATGATAAAAGTTGGTGGAAGGCAATTCTTTGCAGAGTCCAGATCTTGAAGTGGCCCCAGAAGGTGTGGACGTGCCTTGGTTTTACTCTTCTCACCTTCTTTAGAGGGATTTCTAGTTCAATGGGAACCTTTATCGGTCATGCGTACCCAGGGCTGTTTCTACTCTCATATGGGCTGTATCAAGCAGTAGTGGTCTCCAAAGCTGTGATATTCAGTGACTCTTTCCTGTATCCTTCATCACCTCCCAGGAATAAGGGGAGATGGGCCAGGCTGTGGAAAATATCCTACGGAGGTTTGCTGAAGACGCTGGCTGGCTCTGGCTTGTTAGTGTATGAGATAAGCTGCGTGAAGAGAGGGCTGATACTGATGAACAGGGAGCTGCCCCTGACAGTTATGTACGCCAAAGAGTGGCAGCACGTCACCATGTACATCCTTCTCACCCTCAACGGCTGTGTAGAGGTCGTGAGCAAGAACTTGCTGCCTCAGCACTGTGTGCCCCCAGAAGAAGGGACCTTGGTGCTGACTTTCTATGTGCTCCTGCTGTTGCTGGTGTCACATGTTCAGGACTCAGCAGGGGTGGAGCTGCAGGTTCACTCTCTGCTCATCTTGGTGGTGTTGTTGCTGATGCTGGTGTTGACCGTACAGCTGTGGGTTCCCGACACGTTTCAACTCTCAGTGATCGGGACCTTTCTGTTTCAGATCCTGGGCTCCTGGCTGGTACAGGCCGGCTTCATTCTGTACAAACCAGTCACCGGCTACCCGGAGCAGGATGATGACATCATTGATATCACGTTTGTCACCACCTTCTTCTGCTGGCATGTGATGATCGATGCTTTGTGCCTGTTGGGAATCTATGGCGTCTCTTCCTTTTGGCATTGTTGTTACCGTCCCAGCTGGAAGCTAACAGGGTCCAGAGAAGCTCCATGTTACACGACCACCGTGGGACCCCTCTACAAATTGCTGCAGGAAGTGGATCAGTCAGAGTCTGGCAGTCTCTCAACCTCTAGCTGGGTCTTAAATGTCTGGGCTCAGATCCTAGTGAGGGCTGAGGATAACAACTGTTGTGACCAAGTTTTCTGATCCCTGCTATTTTCCCTTAATTCTTGGTTCCTAGACTCTTTCCAATTACCTTTGTTGGGGGAACTCCTTTTTTGTCTACCTCTCATACACACTGATGTCAGATGATGAAAAAGCACAGGTGCTGCCAGCTGCCCATTTCTAGTCATTTGAGGCCTAATTTTATAATGATAAACAAACCTCAAGTAATCAATTGATATCCCCCACACAATATCTCTAAAATATCCAGTGTAGGTAATAAACTTGCATGCTATTAATTTACTATAGTATTTGAGATGTAACAGAGAAGCCCTCCCCTTGAAGGCCAGCTAAGAAAAGACTTCTCAAACACTCTTAAGGTTGGGGGGAGAAATTTGCAATTCTCACAAAATTCCACCAGAGGGCACTATATTCACATCACCCCAGCCAAGCCTCTAACTCTCCAACCCAGTAAAAAGTCTCCTAAGAACCGGTTCAAAAAAAGTGGGGGGAGGGGAAAGGAGGTCAGGAAAAATATAGAGCCAAGTTTACGTATTGTCCAAATATCCAGAAAATGTACCCAAGCGCTGTTTGCTTCCCGCTAATATTTGGCGTGGAAATGTGAAATAAATAAGGATTCAAATCAACTAATGGGATAGGAGTGAGGGAGGATGAGCTGTGGATCCAGTTGAGGGTATCTTTGGGAAAAGTACCAACTCAAGGACACACTCTGATCCTAGTCAGTTTTTGACCACAATGCTAAATTTCCTAAACTTCTAAATAAGCTTCAATAATGTTCCAATCAATCTAGAGAACAAAGATAAATCCATACATACCTTGAGAATAGGAAGAAAATTTATCTGTGAAGATCCCACATTCACAAAACAACGAAACAGATTATTAAATACACAAAATGATCTCCAAAGATTCCTTTAAAAAGAACCTGTCATACAGCAATTTTTCCCCTGGTAATCTAGTTATTCACAAAGAATATATTGAATGTCCATTGTATGTAAGGTACTGGGTAAGCCACTATGCAGGATTCAGAGGTAAACTAGTTGGTTCCTGGACTGGGTACTTTCCTTAGTGGGTACAGTAGGGATTTCGGAGTTTAGAGGTGGTGGCCCAGGAATGCATCACCCACAGCCGGAGAAGGCTGAAGGAAGGGCAACAGAAAAAGGCTCTCAAGGGAATTGCACCTTGGAAGCATATTAGCCTGTGAAATGCTGCACTAAGGTGAATCCAGCTAGCTACTGCAAGTGAGCACGTCCTCAGCTTCCTCACTGGTCAGCTAGAATGATTTGAAGGTTCATTCTAGAATTATACAGCTGTAATTTTCTCAGTAGCACTTATTTTACCATGTCGTTAGCTAAGATGAACTTAATTCCTCCCAACTCTCCAAGCAGTTTCCTGTGAGAGACAAGATTTGGGGTAGGGCTCAGACCCAAACCTTCAGTCATAAGGTGTAGGCTGGGACACGAAGTGTTCTCTATATTTGAATGGTTAAGGGGCCTTCAACAAAACTCAAATCAGACAAAAAAAAAAAAAAAAAAAAAAAAGCTGAGACTTGAATTTCTAATTTCCTAACCTGAGCTTAAGAATATCAAACAATCAGAAAAGAGATAAAGAACAATTCCTCTGGGTTCAGTGTTAGATACCAAATTGACGTAAAACCTGGTCTTTCCTTCTTTAATTGTGTACTGTGAAATTTGAAGGCTTGGTCAATTGCAGCTTTTCCCCAAAATGTGCTTTAAGAGTAATGACATCAACTTCCAAGGCTGTTTCTTTTTCTTTTGTTTTATTTTTGTTTTGCTTTAAGATATACAATGGTCTATTCTTTTGGAAAGAACTGGCGTTGGTTTATTGAAAAAAAAAATTTATAATTCTGGGTTGGGTTTCCAGGGTGTTCCTCAAGCCTGAGTCTCAGCTATGTCTCTTTCGCCTAAGTTAAGGGTTTTGTTCAATGCCTACTGAAATCATTCAAATGTTGGAAAAACTCCATTTCCCAAACTACATGTTCTGGTTGAAGGTTTGAGTACGTTTGAGCCTTACCCCAAATCTTGTCTCCAATGAGTGCAAGGCAACCAACCACACAGGCCTTGGGAAGGCACGCTCAGATCACTAGATTAAGGGCTTACGACCTGCAGAGTGAGAATGGGTCCTTTAAAAGAGAGTGAAAGAAATTGAGAGAATTCACAGGTAAAGCCCAGCCAAGACAAGGCCTTTATTTCAAGCAGCAGAACAACACTGAAGAAATGCTTTTTTTCAGTCCCCAGTCATTTCTGCAGATTTGGAACCAAATTTTTACCTGTGATATTTCTCTCCCACTCCACCCACCCCTTGGACACAGCTGCTCTATTCTAAGAGAGAAAAACCTGACTTCAAAGCACACGTAACAGAATCCCCTGTGTGCTTTGATACTGGGTGTACCAGGAGACAGAAGAGTTCATCCGTTCAAATGCTCTAATGCTTTTTAGGGAGCGAGTGGAGAATGTGGGTGGGTAGCAATTTAGGGAAGAAGGAGAAAGAGAACAAAGGGCAGCAGACACAGCAAAGTCAAACAGGATCAAACAGTCCATTCTACTTCTAACTTCTCTAAAAGTACAGTCTGGGTTTCTGGGGACGAACCAGTTAGTTTAAGGACTTTCTTCTGCTTTTTCTTCCCTCATACTCTTTTAAGGTTCCCTGAACAATCATTGGGCTCATTTGGGCCCTAAATCGGTTGGGTTAAGTAAGTATGGTGCTGACTAAGGGGGACAAGGCCTCTTGTTCTGCCTGAAAAACTCAGTAGTCATGTATTACCTTCCTAACCCTCACAAAGTATGCCCCGTCACGTGAATGGATCAAAGCAAATCCATTTCCATTCTTGGAAAAGCAGCTCAAAGCACATGTGCTCTTGATGGTGCCGCTGTCATTTCTGTGTGGTCAACAAACATCGGTTATTGACCACTCACCCTGGACACTCCTGGGGGACACTAAGATGAATAAGCTGCTCAGGGAGGTTAAGACACCAGCAAGGGCGGCAGGCACCCACAGACTAGAAGCTTGAAGAACTGCACATGCTTCCTACTTTTCCATTTTCTATTCTGTGTGCCATCCCCGCCTCGGGTGCTGGTGGTGACGAGTACAGTAAAAAGCTCTGGTTCACTTCTGGCAGTTTGGCAACTGGAAATTAACATTTTCTAAAACAAGAACATGACTCTTCCCCTCCCTCACGCCCCCTCCTCAACAATTTAAACTCAAGACCTCACAGAAAGAAATGGAATGAAGACATCTCAGTTTGCTACCAGGTCTAAGCCCACTCTCATAAAACCAACGGTAGAGCATTACACGAAGTTAGGAAGTTGTACTTCACAGGTTGTGGTGGGGAAAGAAAGAATCCAATCCCATCAGATTATCTTGGCCTATAATAATTATTATTGCTTTTTTCTAAAAATTTACTATATGCATGTGCCATCACAATTAATCCTTACAATATACAAGGTAGACGTTATTCTTATTTTGGAGGCAAGGAATCTGAGGTTCTAGGGCTAAGTACCTACCCCAACACAAAGCTGGTAAGAAGTAAAGCCCAGATCTGAACCTGCGTTGCCTGAACTGAAGCCCAGCTTTTAACCATCATATCGAAGGATCACATAAAGGATGGAATCCCTTACACTTGCAAGGCGACTTACCTGGTCCACAATGTTACCTGTCTGAAACATACCAAAAGCCCCTGTTGGAGATGAATCTTGCATCTCTCATTTTAAATCACTACAGTGTTAGACACACTCTCACAGGGAAGGGATGTTGACCAAAGAAGCCAAGTTATGTGTGTGTGGTCACAGGCAACATTTCTTTTCCATATTTGTGGTACAAAAAATAACCAGAAGTGCAAACTTCTTCCCTTCCTCTTCCAAAGGCCCTGGAAACATGACTTCTTAGTCTTCAAACAGAAAACCTCGAAGTCTCAAATACTGGGGCTCTTGAAAGATGCAATAAAGACTAGACACCATCAGATGGATTCAGGCAATAAAAATAGTATGATCAAGTAATAGCACTGGTAGAAATGAAAACATTACATTCACGTGTGTGTTGTGTATGTGTTGTATACATATATATATATAGTTATTGTGTATCTGTTGACAAGCATCCACTTCAAGACTGTGTTCACATACACATACACGTTTTCTCAACTATCATAGTAAGGCTATAAGGAGAGAGGAGGAAGGGGTACTGATTCTCATTTTCCATATTACAAAAACGTGCAATAAATTACTTGACAAACAAAAACAGACAGAATTCGTTTCAGGAATTCTAAATTTTTGACATACCCTGAGCTTCGAAGAGGAGATGCCAAGACTTCACCTTCCTTTCAGCTGTCCTCGGGAAACAGTTTGCACACAGAATTTCAAATCTGATGGGCGACTCTTAAGGTCCTTTCTTGAACCGCTTTACTGAACAGAATTTCAAATCTGATGGGTGACTCTTAAGGTCCTTTCTTGAACCACTCTATTTATTTTATTTTTTTAATTAATTAATTTTATTTTATTTATTTTCGGCTGCGTTGGGTCTTTGCTGCTGCGCACGGGCTTTCTCTAGTTGCAGCGAGCGGGTGCTACTCTTTGTTGCGGTGCGCGGGCTTCTCATTGCAGTGGCTTCTCTTATTGCAGAGCACGGGCTCTAGGCGTGTGGTGTTCAGTAGTTGTGGCTCACGGGCTCAGTAGTTGTGGCTCGTGGGCTGTAGGGTGCGGGCTCAGTAGTTGTGGCTCACGGGCTCTGGAGCGCAGGCTCAGTAGTTGTGGCGCATGGGCTTAGTTGCTCCGCGGCATGTGGTATCTTCCCGGACCAGGGCTCGAACCTGTGTCCCCTGCATTGGTAGGCGGATTCTTAACCACTGCACCACCAGGGAAGTTCCGCTTTATTTATAGATGAGGGAACTTGGGCCCAGAGGCTGCGAGAATTGCCTCAGGTGTGGCAGAGGCAGAATCAGGTCTCCCGACTTGTGTCTCCGCCCGCCAGGATCCCTTCTATGGAATGAGACAAAACACAGCACTTTCACTACCAATGTGAGATCCTAGACTTCTGTTCACATCCCCAAACCCGCCGAGAGACCTGCGGCAGCCCCGTCTGCGCCGCCCCCTCCGACGCCTGGCCACGGCTGCGGCGAGCCCAGGGCTTCCCCCACCCCGCGAGCTCCCTCACAAACTTGACCCGAGGGCCGGGAAAGGGGGCCGGGGGTTCTCTAACAACAAAAGGCAAAAGTGGGTGCCCGTGGGTCAGAATTTCCTCTGGGAGCTCTGGGGCGTGCAGTGTGACCTAGTGAAAGAGAGAACTCTCCCGCAAAATATCCGACCTGAATGCAATACTTGGCTGCGGGGCCGGCCCCAGGCCGGGCGGGCGGGGGCGCCGCGTCGCTGCGCGGCAGCCCGGGCCGGCGGGGTCCTTCCCGGCAGGCACTGGGCCCTCCGCCGCCGCCGCCGCCGCCGCCCCGCCCTTCCTCGCTCCCCTCCCCCACACCCCCTTCCCCCACCGCCCTTTCCCTTTCTTTCTTTCCCGGGCCGGCTCGCCCCCACCCCGGCGGCGCCCGCTCGGCGGCTCGCCCAATGGCCGAGTTGCCGGGACGCGCATCAGCTGATCCGCCCGGGCTCCGGGCCTCTGGGAGCCAATCAGGACGCCGGGGGCGGCCCCGGCTGCAGATAAAGCGTGCGGGGCCGCAGACGGCCTTGCAGAGCCGAGAATGGGAGAAGAGCCGGCTGTGTAAGCAGTTCTTCCGGCCTCCTCGCCTCTCCTCTCCGCACCTCGCTCTCGCGGCCTGCCCACCCTGCCGCCTGCTCGCCGCCCAGGTAAGCGCCTGGCCGGCCCGGGGGGCTCGGAAGTGTCGCGAGCCGCCGCGCTCTGACCGATCGGCTGAGCTCGGTTCGGCCCCTTCCCACCTCCAGCCTCTACTCTGCGCCCCGGCCTGCGGGCCCTCCCGCTTGCTTCCGCCGCCCGTGCCTCCCGGAGGGTCTGGGTCGGCGATGGCGGGGCGCGCGAGTCGCCAGGGCTTCGAGAAGGGCGGGGAGTTGTTTTGATCTTCCTTCAGCTGCATGCAGCCCCAAGCGCCGCCCCTGGATGTCGCTCGGCAGGGCGAGCTGTGGAGGCACTGCCCGGGCCCGGCGCCCCCGGCTCGGCCATGTGGTGTGCGTGGTGGATGGAGTGGTCCCCTGCTGGAGCCTCGCTCTCTTCCTCCGCGGAGGCGGGCCCTGGGGCGGTCGTCGCGGTTAGCCGCCTGCGCGGAGGCGAGGGGCAGTGAGCGTCTGTGTTGCGGCCCGCTCCCGCCGCGGGCTCCCGGGGGCCTACCCCTGTGACTGAACAATGGGGAGCCCGGGATGCGGCATGGCCGGCGGGCGCGGCGGGTGGAGAGGACTGGCCGGCCGGACAGGGGCAGCAGCGGCACGCTGTCCCTCTGGCGGATGTCCCCATCCCCCGCCCCTCCTAGCCCTGTTCTTGGAGAGGGATGGCCCCCCTCGGCTAGGCCCTGAGATCCAGACGGGGGCCCAAGGGGCGGGGCGCCGACTTTCGGGACCTTTCTGTGGGAAAGGGCTGCTCTCAAAGTGGATTATCCCAACCACCCCGGGGGCGGGAAGCGGGGATCCTCCCCTGACCGCAAATCCGTGAAGAAGACCATGAACGAAGGTGACGACCTGGAGTCTCGGTCCTCGGGGTCCCCCTCCAACTGCTTCGGCTTCGTCGCCTACTCAGTGAACGCCAGAGAGAAACTGCGAGTCAAGATCGAGACGTTGACCTACCAGCCTTCGCATTCCAGCTCGTCCCGGTCCGATCCCTACCGCTCTCCAACTCCCTCTCCCTCTCCGTCTCCCTCGCCCAGAAACCTCCGGTGCCTGGACCAGCGAGAGCCGGAGACCCACGAGAGGCGCGAACGCCACTCGGAAAGGAGAAAGGCTAAGGAGGGCATCGATACCGTTGACCTTATGTGGCTGGGGTGAGTGAGGAGCAGGGATGAGGACCCCGGCTCCCACTGCAGCTGCAGAAACAGCTAAAAACTGCAGAATCCCATCCCTCCCAGCACCCACCACGTAATCTTGGCACCTCGGCGGCACCAGTTGATATAGTAGACTAGGCTGTTGGCATTGCAACTCGTCACCAAAAAGAGCAGGATCCGAGGCTTAAAGGGAGACAGAGTGGTTTGAAATTGGAGGTGTAACAGGTTGGGGACGAAAGCCAGAGACCGGGTTATAGCTTTTAGTGGGAGCTGAAAGGGTCAGGGATTGCTCCCTCTGGCTTTTAAAGGCAGGATGGGCGTCGGGGGTGGGATTTGACTGACCAAGTCTTCTACAGGAGTAGGCAAAGGTAGTGGTTGTCTGCTAACACTGCTTGACAGACAGCTTCTCCGCTTTCGGGGTGGGGGTGGGGGGAGAAGGGTGAGGCTGTTGGAGGGAGAAGCAGTTATGTTTTCAGCTGGGCAAACATGGACGGTTGCCCATAGAAACTTTGCCACTGTACTTCAGAAAGTTACCCAAGTCATTGGAGGAGAACAGTGTGTTCCCTTTCCAGCCACCCTGGGCTGTCGACAGCAGAGGGAGGGGTGGAACGTTTCCTCTTAATGTTGAGGTTTGGTTTTGTGGCTTCAGTGTCTCTTCTTTCAGGGGTTTTGCGGTGGAGCCTCGCAGTTTTTAGCATGCCTCAGCTTTTGAAACCCCAGAGCTTTTTGATTTAGAAGTGGGAATTTCTTAATTACTTGAAAAGCTCTCTGGTGGAATCTGGTCAAACTTAAATCTCCTGTCTGAAGTGAGAACTTTGCCTCAGACTGATGCAAATTATGCCATCGTGTATCTTAGAATCCAACTCGGATTGGCTATTTTTACATCTTGGTAATTGTAATAACTGCTGTTCTTCTAGGAAGCCACCAGTCTCTTAAATCTTCTAGCTAGCCCCCTTGTTTCATCCTACCAACTAAATGGGGGGGGGGTGTTTATTTTTTGGAAGGGTGGAGGAATCTTCAAAAGCACTCTTTACTGAGATATCCTCTGGGGTGTAAGGAAAAGGGAAGACTTAACCCAGAGATCATAGCAGCCAAGCCTTTCTGTGGCTGGATTTTACTTGGAGACGATGTCTGTTCGGCAGACTTTCTGTTTCAGAACTTTTGTATATTCATTGTGTTTTGGGGTTTTTTTCTCCCTCTAGTATCTTAGTGTGAAAAATGAAACAATTCCTCTACCTCTGATAAACTGCAAAAAGTAGAGCTTAGTGCTCACAAGTTTAGATTCTGGCTTGAGGAAGCTTATAAGGAGACTTTTGTCTAGTATAAAAGTTTAATCTCCCTGAAAGCAAGTTAGATAGGGAGGGGCCACCACTCCCGCTGCTTCTCGATTTAGTTGTCCTTATTGCGTCAGAGGATCTGTTTGGAGTTGGTGTTCTTATTTTATTTTGTCTCTCTCCAGAACACCTTCCACCATGGCCACCTCGGCGAGCTCCCACTTGAACAAAGGCATCAAGCAGGTGTACATGTCCCTGCCTCAGGGTGAGAAAGTCCAAGCTATGTATATCTGGATTGATGGTACTGGAGAAGGACTGCGCTGCAAGACCCGGACCCTGGACTGTGAGCCCAAGTGTATAGAAGGTGAGAGACTGAGCTGGCTGGGAGCAGCGTGAGGGTGGGCGGCAGCCTGAGACCAAGCCACTAGATTTGGCCTCTGTTTGTGATGCTTTTCGAAGGCGGGACTTTTCAGACTTCATTCAACCAACATTAAGCTCCTACACTGCCTCCGAGCATAACAGCAATGGACCCCTTCATTTAAATGAAATCTTGCGTGTAAGCCAGTATATTGAAGGAAAAGAGACAAAGTCTGGGGGCAAGAGGGGTTGGAAACTTTGTTTACTTGGGCAGTCCTACTTAATTGGCCCTAAGGTACCGCCAGGAACCCAGTTTGAAAACCACCGCTGTAACCTGACTGTGCCATCTACTTTACAAACTCTTTGAATGCTGTTTCAGACTCATGTGTCACTGAGGTTCTACATGCAAAACAAACACCCTAAAGTGGTCTCTAGGACCAGCCATCATTAGTTTTTAGTTGATGCCACTTCTGGAAATTCTTAAACTGGCTGATTGCTTATCCTACAGGAGCTATTATATGAGTTGTGACAACTTCATTCTTTTGGTCTAGAACAAACCATAGCCACTCTCCTTCTGGAAAGGGACCGTGGTCCATCATCTTTTACCTGCTTTTAGGTTAGGTTACTCTTCTGATAATGTTCACATTTGAGCAAATGAATGAATGACTATAATATAAAGCATATACTGTGCACCTGCTATGTGGCAGGTGTTGGATAGGCCCTGGGAATACAAGATGAGAGTCTGGTCTCTGCCTTGGGAGAACTCATAGTCACCTGGAGTGATGAAGGAACTGGCCTTTAAAACATAGTGTGGATACGTGACATGGGAGCACCATTGAATAAGTCATCCGGCTAGTGTCTGTTTCCTCATCTGTTAAAATAAGGACACCACTTGAACTAGGACAGTCCGTCACACAGCGGGGGGAGGAATTAGAGAAAGAAGCAACACAGTTGGCTCTCAGAGAATCTTTATTTCTCCTATTTCAATACTTTAAATGAGGACTGACTGACTGACTGGTGATATCCAGTTTGTCTCCTTGGTGTCCAGTAGACTTATTTACAGAGGAAACGTCATTCTTAGGTTGTTCTTGTGACTGTTACTTCTTTTAGGAAAGTGATGCAGTGGTCTTACTTGGAACTCAGATAGGAAGGACTGTAGGGCTACCTGCAAACATCAGGGTTTGTGTGTTAATAGTGGCAGTCATGCATGCCTCACTGGCTTTCTGGACAAGAGAGTACAGATCTTTTGAAGATCTGAAAAGTTCCTGTGCATTTTAACTATAATTTTCCCCTCTCTTTTTTACCCCAGAGTTGCCGGAGTGGAATTTTGATGGCTCTAGTACTTTTCAATCCGAAGGCTCCAACAGTGACATGTATCTCGTCCCTGCTGCCATGTTTCGGGACCCTTTCCGCAAGGACCCCAACAAGCTGGTGTTCTGTGAAGTCTTCAAGTACAACCGAAAGCCTGCAGGTGTGTATAGGATAGGTATGGATACCCCACCCCAGTCCATGAATTGTAAAGGTGGGCGGGAGAGGATATTCCAAAATCGGTATTGGAAAGACGAGCTTACCTCAGAACTGTCTTAGAAGTCTGAAGGATTGGACATGGACCTCTCCATCCTGAACTTCCTTGTTCAGAGAGGTTGTATGGTCCATCCTCCCATTGTTGGTTCCATAAAACGACATTGGATTCTTCTAAATCTGCTGGGGGAGTGCCGCATGTCACAGTCCTCCTGCCTGTAGATTTTAAGAACATGGATTCTGAAGTTAGAATGTTGGGTTTGAGTTCTAGATCTGCCACTTACTTGGTATGAACTTGGGCAAGTTACTTTTCTCCTATACTTTTCACTTCCCCGATTTTAAAATGGGGAAAATAATGAAATCCGTCTCATAAAGTTGTTTAGAGGATTAATTGAGTTAATATGTGCAAATGATTGAGAAGAATTGTATGTTATTGGTTGCCTTTTCATTCCAGAGAGCTTGTCTTCTTTCTCTGTCCACTGACTAAAATGAGAGCATCTTGGTTCACTGATAACATATGTTTGCCTTGAGGTTTGCTGTAACTGCACCTTTGGTTTTTGTCTGGCATACCCATTGCTCCCAGTTCTCCACCATTCACCTTTTTAAGCTCAGCTGGAGTCTCACGTCCATGAAGTCTCTTGCTACACTCAGCCAGTGAGACTTTTTGGCAAGTCACTTAGTGACTCTGGACCTTACTTGTCTTTGTTTTGAGAGGCATTATCAAATTGTGGTAAAGGGCCTGAGCTCTGAAGTCGACAAGCAGGGTTTCCTGACCTTGCTGCTTGTGCTGTACCCTGGGCAGGCTACCTACCATCTCTGAGCCTCATTTTCTCATTTGTGAAAATGGAGACTTGTAATACCCACCTCAGGGCTGTTAGGAAAACGAAGTTGGGGGTTTTCTTTGATGTAACGTAGAGATCTTAAAATGGTTCCTGGGACATAGTGAAACAGCCATAATGAGTCTATAAAGTTCCGGTCTGGGTTAGAAATTGTTCCCAGTTGAGCTCGTCACATTTTATTTTATTTTTATTTTTTTGTACTAACCAGTACTATAGAACTTAGCACTTTATCTGCTCACCTGGAATGTAAAGCTCTTAATAGGCAAATGATTCTCTCAATAAAAATTGTAGATTTGGCTCTAAATGCTTGAGAAACTAGGAATAAGTCTGACAGCTAGAAGCAGTTCTTTTGTGAATAGAGGGTTTACGTGCCTGACATTTGGTATTTGGGAAGGAGCCAGCTTGCAGATAAGGTGAAAACTTGCTCTGTTCTGGATCCACTCCCATGTGACTCTGTTGTAACCCAGTTTAGTTATAAATAAAGCCTTTTGAGAGTCTCCCTGCAGATATATAATCATAGCTTCTCTTATCGTCCCCTTTTACACCGACCGACGGGGGCACAGAAAGGTTAACACTGGGTCAATTCAGCTTATAATCAACATCTCAAGTACCTGGAGTCCAAGGAGTATTTCCCATCAATGCAGGGATTCAGTACATTTGTCCATATGTCTCTAATAGTGTGTTGACTCTTTCTTTTTCCTAGAGACCAATTTAAGGCACACCTGTAAACGGATAATGGACATGGTGAGCAACCAGCGCCCCTGGTTTGGAATGGAGCAGGAATATACTCTCATGGGCACAGATGGGCATCCCTTTGGCTGGCCTTCCAACGGCTTCCCTGGGCCCCAAGGTAAGTCCCCTTGGTGAGGGGTGAATCTTGCTCCTTCCCAAGTGCTTAATTAGCAAGGAAAGTCTCTCTCTCCAGAGATGGGATTGAATCCTTGTGGATCAAAAAGCTAAGGGAGTATCCCTGAGTTTGGCTGAAATAATACCGTAAAGAGAGAGAGCCCTTGTGCTACCCAAATCCGGACGTGGATGTTGAGACATTAACATTGCGGGAAAACCTTTGGCCCTACTGAGAATGTGGCCAGGAGGGCCCCCTGCACTCCACTCCTGCACCTCCAGGTGAAGGCAGGGATGGTGATTCCAGAGAGCAAGTGTTGAGAGCTTTCTGACTTCTGACTTTGGGCCGTGCATCTCACATAGATAGGAATTTTCTTGATGTCCTGCCTCTTGACCTTCCATCTTGACGCCTCTGCAGGTCCCTACTACTGTGGTGTGGGAGCAGACAAAGCCTATGGCAGGGATATCGTGGAGGCTCACTACCGGGCCTGCTTGTATGCCGGCATCAAGATCGGGGGCACAAATGCCGAGGTCATGCCTGCCCAGGTAAATGGCTCAAGTCCGTCACCTTCCCCACCTAGAGGCGAGTGGAGACTTTTGCTAGCAAGGGCTGCTATGGGGCCCCGCTCCTTAACCCAAAGTCCTCAAGGTGGCTTGGAGTAGGGGTGAGAAGGGTGCACGTGTCAGAGCTTCCGGGTTGGGGTGAGCAGTGGGTTTTAAAGGCCAGTCTTCTCGTTCTCTCTAGTGGGAATTCCAGATAGGGCCCTGTGAAGGAATCGACATGGGAGATCATCTCTGGGTGGCCCGCTTCATCTTGCATCGTGTGTGTGAAGACTTCGGAGTGATTGCCACCTTTGATCCTAAGCCCATTCCTGGGAACTGGAATGGTGCCGGCTGCCACACCAACTTCAGCACCAAGGCCATGCGAGAGGAGAATGGTCTGAAGTGAGTGCCGCCTCCTGCTGGGGCTGTTTCACTCTCTTTGCAAGAATGCTTGCCAAGGGTTTGATGTATCGGGAATGAGTCAGCCGCCTTCTCAGTTCGTACCTTGGCCCTTGGCTTCAAAAATTGTCTTCTGATCCTGTCATTTTGTTTCTATTTGAAAAGTACCCCAAAAATACTCTAGGAGTAGGATTCAAGGATGGTGATAGGGGAAAGTTGACACAGATGAATGCATTTGAAAGTCTTTAGTAAGAACTAAATTAGTAACCGTACAGGCTTATGAATGAATTCAATGCCTGGGTGGGAGAAAGTCCTTGATTGGGATCTTTTCATTCAACAAATGCCATCTACTGCATGTCTAGCACTCTTCCGAGCACTAAGAGACACAGCTTACAAGGCAAAGTGCTGCCCTTGTGGAGAATTTGTTCTCCTGGGGCCGTGTTTTGGTGAAGTAGACCCTGGACAACAGTCTTGGTAGATGAGTCACTCCATTCTTGGATCCACACCTGCTCCTCTGCCCTTGAAGGGCGGGTTTCCTGGTGGTAGGTTGGACGCTCATCTTAACTGTCTCCTCCAGGTACATTGAGGAGGCCATCGAGAAACTAAGCAAGCGACACCAGTACCACATCCGAGCCTACGATCCCAAGGGGGGCCTGGACAACGCCCGGCGCCTAACTGGATTCCACGAAACCTCCAACATCAACGACTTCTCTGCCGGTGTGGCCAACCGTGGCGCTAGCATCCGCATTCCCCGGACTGTCGGCCAGGAGAAGAAGGGTTACTTTGAAGACCGTCGCCCCTCTGCCAACTGTGACCCCTTTGCGGTGACAGAAGCCCTCATCCGCACGTGTCTTCTCAACGAAACTGGCGACGAGCCCTTCCAGTACAAAAACTAAGTGGACTAGACTTGCAGCCGTCAAAACCCCTCCTAATCCTACATCCTGCTGCCACTCTCGCCCCTCTCACCTGTTATAATAGCTGTTAACTCAAAGGGCAGGATGTCAACGTCTTTTTTTATTCCTCACTCTTGCTTTCTTTGGCCAGGATAGAGGGGTCAAGTTCTTAATCTCTTCACACCCACCTACCCCCCCACCATTTTTTTTCCTATCACTGAAGCTTTCTAGTGCGTTAGTCGGGGTGGGGTTGGGGAAACATAACCACTGCTTCCATTTAATCAGGTGTGTTTGTCCAATAGGCATAGCTATCCGGACAGAGAGCATAGTATTTGTGAAGGGAGGGGGAGGACTTTCTCTGCATGGTAGCTGAGTGGGGGGCAGGGGGCTTGATTCTGTGGTAAGGTTAGGATTTCCCTTTCTTGGTGAGAAATTCCATTACTTATAAGGTTAGAACCAACTTTCTATTAAAAGTGAGAATTAGGGGAGAAGGAGTGGTGGGAAATCAGGTAGGAAAATGCCCTAGATCTCCTAGTGTGGTGCTTCCCTTGCCTGGGGCTGAATGCCCTGACAAGCTCAGCATAAATGGATGGATAGCCCTACCTTAAAAGAAAGAGTTCCATGTTGTTTGGTCCTCCATTTATAACACAAAGCAGAGTAGTATTTTTATATTTAAATGTAAAAACAAAAAAATTATATATACGGGTGTGCAGATAAATGTGTGTTTTCTCCTTAGCAAGTAAAAACCATTCTGGTCACGGGGAGCCAAATTTGAGTTGAGTAGTCTGGTCTCCTTTTGCGGGGGGGAGGGGGGTGCTTGACAAGTTGGCTACTGGGCTCTCATCCCCTCACTACCACTTCAGGGCTTCTCTGCCCTGCTCACCCTTCTGGGGAGGCTGGCACGGGTTGGCTGTGTCAGCCCGCGGGAGCAGCAGCAGTCACCTGAGCCCTGGGGCTTTGGTTCAAAAGACACACACGTACTTGTACACACAGGGGTTTGGAAATATGAGTTGGCTGGTCAACTTGAGCATGTTACTGACAAGGGGGGTTGGGGGTTATTTTCTGGTGGGACTAGCATGTCACTAAAGCAGGCCTTTTGATATATTAAAAAAAAATTTTTTTTAAAGCAAAACAAGTTTAGATTTTAATCGTATTTGTAGGGTTTCTAAGCCTTTGTTTTACAGAATTGCTTGTTTGCTTCAGCTGTCTCCTTCCCATGTCTGCCGTTGGAGGAGATGAGGACAGGTCTGGAGTCAAAATACTTGTAATTTTGTGTCCTGGTGTCTATTCTCTGAGTGTGAAATATTCCCTTCCTTTGTTTAGATTCCTGAGGAGTTTTTTTTTTTTTTTCTTTTATAATAAAAACAAACCCCACCTTTGTCCCTACGTCTCCCCTACTGTTTCTGGCTGTTTCTGTGTTGGCTGCAGCAGGCAGGCTATGGTTTTTTCTTACCATGACAACTTCTAATTGCCATGTACATACAGTATGTTCAGAGTTAGATAACTACTCATTGTAAACAAACTGTGTTAACTGCCCAGAGCAGCTCTTATAAATCAACCTAACATTTATAAGACCTCTTCTGACTTGATTCTTTGTTATTCTTTTAAATCGCTATGTGCCTCTTCATTCCCTTTTACTACCAAAAAGGGAGTTTTTTAAAAGAGGCAAAGTAAGTTCAGGTTTACCTGTTCTTGGAATAAAAAAAAAAATCTTTCCTGAGTCTTGTTGCCAACCAGATCTTTCCCATGCTTTGGGAATTTGGATATGTGGGTTAAGGCATATCCTAGCCTTAGAATTTTGCAGTAGGGTACAAACACCAGCCGTCCCCTGCCTGTGCTCCAGAGCTTGCCTTTGACCTATCATGCTATCACATTGTTTTGAATACCCCTCTGCCTTAATTTTATAGCAACCTGAAGTGTTTAGTGTGCTTTCAACTGGTCTCACTATCCCTACTGGTCTCCATTTCATCCTGTGCCCAGCTGCCAGTGATTCATCTAAATAGCAAATATTGACCACGTTGCTATGCTGGTTAAAGCCTTTTTTTTTTTTTTTTTTTTTTTTTGCGGTACGCAGGCCTCTCACTGCCGTGGCCTCTCCCGTTGCGGAGCGCAGGCTCAGCGGCCATGGCTCACGGGCCCAGCCACTCCGGGGCACGAACCCGTGTCCCCTGCATCGGCAGGCAGACTCTCAACCACTGTGCCACCAGGAAAGCCCTGGTTAAAGCCTTTTGAGGTTACCTGTGCTGAGGGCAAGCCAGCCCCAGACATGCCTTGGATACGCTTTTCCTTGCACCAGACCAGTGAGCTGCTTGTGATACCCTCAAAAGCACTATGTTGACACCTCAGTGCCTTTGCTCCCTGTCCCTTTACCTGGAAATTCTTCCACCTCGTCCTGGCTTCTTCCTACCCTAGTTTCATTTCCACATCAGGCTGGGTAGGAGCTCCCTCCTGCTCTCCGGTGCTGTGCACATACCTCTAGCAAAAGCACTTATTCATCCTTTGTCCTTGTAAGGTACCAGGTATTGTGGGCAATCGTAATTATCTTTTTAAAAAGTAGTGTCCTCTATCAGTTTGGAGGTAGCTGGTGCCTGTTACAGCAAATTTATTATAGAGATGAGTTTTCTTTGGGCAAGTGCTTATTGCTCTAGTCTTAGGTGATCCTAGATATCTGCATTTTTTTTTTCTAAGTTATATCCCATTTTCAAAGTAGGATGATCTTACCTGTTGGTTTGCTGGGAGTGGTCCCAGTTTGCACCATGTTTTGGCATGATTTAAGAGTGCCCTCTTGCTCTCGGTGTTTTCCAGGTTTTGCTGATAAATTATTTATTTCAACTGAAGCTCTATTTCCCTCTCTCCAGCCGAAGTTGGCTTCCCTTCCCTGGGTCACCAGCACAGTTCTTGGTGAGGGGGTATTCTGCACAGCGCAAGCACTACATTAAGGAAATAACCTGAGCACTTTGCTTGTGTGCTCATTGTAAGCAATTCTCTGACAGATTACGTAGAAAGGAATTCTCAATGTGATCAGGATTTAGGTGGAAACAACTAGTATATTTCCTTCTCCAACCTCTTACATAGAGTTAGCTTTGACCTACAGGTCACAGTGCAATCCCCTTGTATTTCTAAGGTGTTCTTTATAGCTCATTTAGCAGACACTAGGTTACGTGATAACTTTATCAGTGATAGATTAAACAGAATGACGGCCAAGCCTTCAGCCTTAAAGAGACAGGCCAGTATTCACAAAAGGAGTTTCTCCATTTTGAACACGAGTTCCCTTAATTCCATCCTGCCAGTTATTGGATAAGAGCTAAATGACAACACAAGCTAGAAGAAGAACATCAAGGAGCTAATAAAGGATTCCAAGGAGTTCCTTGGATGGTTATTACTGGGATCATTTAACAAGCCAGATCTGCGCTGCTGGGTAGAATTTTACCCTAGTGGATAAAAGAACTTCCTAAACAAATACTTGGTGCTGGGGCTCCAAATATCTCACCAAAGCCTGCATTTAGGTAATTCCAGCTACTCCTTGGCCCTTACACCAATAAAAGTACAAAGTTTGAAAAGTAACTTGCTATCGCAAAGAAAGCCCTTCACTCACTAGACTTTTTGATTGTAAACTTCATAAAGGCAGGGATCCTGTTTTTCTTTCTCAGGGCTGTATCCCGACCTGTCATGGTGCCTGCAGGGCTTGTTTCATGAATTATTTTTAAGTACCAGTTTTGCAAGCTTTAAGCCCACAATTCTATTGGGTGGTGTTAAACCCATGAGGTCTTGGTGGTTTGGCTGTGTTTTAACTCTGGTCATGGCACTAAGGTGAAGTTCTGTTTTACTGAATTTTTAATGACTGCTGGCGTGGTTGATTCTGGCTGGAGTCAGGCTGCCAAGAGCCTCATGTTGCTTTATGAGTAGTGGCAAGTTACCGTGTCATTCCAAAGGCTTCAGGTAGATTGCTACTGTAACCAATTTGACTTGATTAGAGCCCTATCATTTTATAGGCTTTAGCTCAATCACCACCTACTCATTAAAAAAAAAGGTCAACCTGATTTTATAATATGCAGATATATGCACATATATAAAATATAGACACATACCATATTGGGACATATGCATATATGTACACATTAGAACACAATCTAGGTACCTTACATGAACCTTCTGCAAAAGCTATAGCACCTTATAAAGGAGACAGGAACTTAAGAATATCTCTTCCAGAAGCAGTACATATTCAAGCAGATTCACTGGTCTGAAAAGCTGTCACTAGGAGTGGGGGGGCAGGACATAGATGCTATAATCATTCTCAAAGCATGGTTCTACCACCAACCCTTTCTAATTCTACCCTCTCCTGTGCTTAATGGATAAGAAGTTTTGGGGCACTGTCAACTAACTGTTTATCTATGATTCACTGCCTGGAGCCCCTCTGATATAAAGGGGATGGTGTCCTAGTCCCATGTTACAGAGGAAGTGTCTATGCAGTTCCTATTGTTATTTGATGACTTTCTTTTGCAGGGCCTTGGACCTCAGCAAGTTGTCCTCTTTCTCATGGATTTCAGATTAAGTTACTTGCATTGTCTTGAGGTTGTGACTGTCTCAGCTTCCTCTACTCCTCCACCTTATGGCATAGTCAGCAGATCTATAGGCTTAACTCCAGTGGGTGCACACTCGTCAAATCTAAACTCTGCATGACAGCCTTTCTGCACTTGCCTTTCAAGAAAGATTCAGAATAACTCCTCCTTTGTGACTATTATTCTGCTCTACTGACGTTAAATGGAAGAGGCATTCAAGATACCTCCAAAATTTAATAGATATAATGTGGACCAAATAGGCACTACTTTTTGGTGTTTTGGTGCAAACATAGGAATGAGGGTGTCAACTGAATAGAAATTCTTCCTCTTCTTCATGCCCCTCCCTCTTACAGCTAAAAGAGTGTCATTGGCATCATGAAACAGTATGAGACTTCAGGACATATTGCTATGTATACTAGCTTATCCTCAAATGATTTTTTGAGCTGTTTTGATAACTACTCAAATAATGCTGTATAATGAAGTACAGTATCATACTGGTAGAAGGGAGGAAAGAGGATTGGGGGAGGGGCAGAGAAGTGAGTTGTCTGGTCTCTGGCAAGGAATTTGTGATATGTTAAGAGAGACAGTATAGTAGGAGAATCCACTTCCCCAGGGCTTTCTTTACAAGAGAGGATCATGAAATGAATGTACTGGGTTTCTCCTCCCCAAATAACCTACCTCCAGACTCATTCCTAGATGGGCTTAGGAACCAGAAACTGCCACCCTATTTTGACATCTTTACATAAATACATTATGGCCTAACCTACTTAAGGCACTGTAGCCATGTAAGCCTTTGGTAAATGTTTGTCGAATTAACTGGAAAGGTCATTATCAGTGTCAGTGGCTAAAAGAAGTGAATAGAGGGTGGAGGATGGGGGTGGGAGGGCAGTTTATCACAAGCATGAATCTTAGATGTTTATGATTTGTGTATGAGCTTCCTTACTCCTGCAGTTCGTCCCAAATTACCTGGTCCAGAAATAGTCTCCTCTCCCTGGTCCCAAATGCAGGGCCTTCAAGGATGTTCACCCCAACTGCTCTATCCTGGAAACAGCTGAGCCTTGCAGGTTCCTCCCTTCCCTAAGGAGGGAACAGTTGGGAGCACATTGATACCTAGACTATCTGGCATTAAATGATTCATTTGTACAGAAATTGACACCATCCTAATAGAATCAGCCTGAGATAAGCTATGGACATCCCTGAAATTCCTTCTGGATTTAGAATTCCATGCAGTGAACCATGTTCTACCGTGAAATGAAGCAGTTAAGGGTTAAATTTGCTTTCTTGGAGGATGACTGCTTTCAATTTACAGTTATTTATTTGTGATCAAGGTTCACAGCTAAATTCAGAAAGTCAGGGATGTTGGAGAAGTCTGAAAGAAATGAACAAGTCACACCTTGACACAGCGTTTCTTTGGGGGTAAAAAATATGAGGCAACATTTTAGTATGAGTAATGACAGGAACATTTAACCTATTTAAAACTCATTTCTTCTAGGTTAGAGAGAACAGTTTCTCTCTGTTTGAAGACTCCTGCTTCATGTACAGGAATCTTAAAGCTGGATGACAATCTTTCCCAGGGAAATTAGCCCAGTACTCTCCATCCCTGAGGGCTATATATAATTTGAAAGCATTGAAGTGTGTTACCCATCATTGCATAACAAATTACTCCAAAAATATAGCAGCTGAAAACAGCAAATATTTATTATCTGATACGGTTTCCTGGGGTCAGGAATCTGGGAGTGATGTAGCTGGGTGGTTCTGCCTCAGAGTTTCTTTGGAGGTTGAGTCAAACTGTCAGAGCTGCAGTTTATGAAGATGTGACTGCACTACAGGATCTGTTCCCAAGCTCAGTCACATGACTGGGTAGGAGGCTACAGTTCCTTGCCACACAGGCCTCTCCACAGTGCCACTCGTGACACATCTTTCTTCAGAGTGAGTGAAGCAAGAAAGAAAATGAAAGCAAGAGAGAGAGAGATGGAAGATACAGTCTTTTTATAACCTAATCTTAGAAGTGATAT